TGATTTTTGTGTACAGGTGGTCATTATACCAAGGATTCTATACCACACTGACGAGTATATGTATACCCATCACACAGTGGCTGAATACCATCTGGTAAAGAGGGAGCCTATTACGGCCATCACCTTAGCCACTTTAATGGCCTTCGGGGCTGCAGGTGCAGGACTAAATTGCGGGAAGAATTAGAAAAATGCAAAAGGGAAAATGAGGCTCGTCAGAATTGGTATGAATCCTGGTTTAATTACTCACCTTGGCTTACTACCCTGCTATCAACCATAGCGGGGCCCTTGTTGTTACTTATATTAACAATGACTTTTGGACCGTGTATATTCAATCGAGTAATCGCAATTGTGAAAAGTTGATTAGAAGCTGCTCATCTTATGCTTGTGCGTGCTAAGTATGAATCTCTTGAGCAGGAGGAGGACGACACAGAAACTTTGATGCTCAGCAAGCAAATATTGCAAAAATTCAATGAACAAAATATGTTAGAAAAAGAAAAAGGAGGGATTGTGATAAATTAATAGGGGTTTGTTCATTGTCCTTGAGAATTTAAAGAATCTACTGAGGAGATAAGGTTTCACAACTCACGGCATTGTAACATGGGGACAAATGGGGAAGGGGGGTTGGGTAAACATCCTTGTTAAAACAAAGATTCTGTAAGATACTACCCACCCACCGCAAGACATCCTGTTTTGCCCCCACCTGAACACAAGCACAAAGGTGATCACTGGAGGAAGAATAATGACCCCCAACAACAGACTGCGCAGCCTCAGAACAAGTCTCGACAAGTCGACAAGGCGACAGGTCTCGACAAGTCGACAGGTCTCGACAAGTCAACAAGTCTCAACAAGCCGGAACTTCAATGCTATAAAACAGCAACACTGGAAAGGGGAAGTTGCGTGCCGTGGTGGAGCGGAGACTCCCCAGCCGCCCAGCGCTGTTTTGCTCGTGTCTGCTTACTTGATTAATAAAATAATTTCTATAGACCAGTAAATTGTGTGGTCTAACTTATAACATAACCTTTATCTCACTCTAAGACAGTTCCTGATTGGAAAGAACATGATATCAAGTGGTCAGAGAGAACAATCCACTTAAGCCATTCTGCTGGTTTCTCCTCTAGGCCATACCACGGACTCACAGTACAGCCTCACAACTTGTCTGAACTCCTCTTGTCTCCTCCTTCTGTAGCACATGGCTGGTTGCAGTTAATTGATCCCCATCTTTTCCTTGCCTCCTTTCCTTAGCCTGTAAAATGTTGGGCAAGAGACTGCTGTGGTCCATGTTTACTACAGATGTGTTCTGCCCTTCACCAGGGCTTCAAAGCACTTTAATGCAGAAATCAGGGAACCTATAATTAGATCTGCAATCAATCCTAATAGTGGTTTGTAAAGACTTTTTTTGTGTTTCCATCATTTTTGTTGCAGTGCTTAGCAGCTGACTAAAAGGAATGGGTGCAGTATATAACAAAGCATCTCACTGCCAGTCAGAGGTGAGAAAGAAAACAGTTTAATTCTGCTTTTATTTCTCCTGCAGTCTACCTGCTCTTATGTATTAACATGAGCAGCTATAATCTGAGTACATTGCTACAACATTTTTGTCTTTATGATGGCTACAGGTGTAAACCAGCGAAGTATGACACACTAAGGAGCTTAAACACTTGCAACTTCAGTCACATTCACACAATCCTCGGCTCCTTTCAAAAGCAGGCAATTGCTCTCAAGCACTTAAGAACCCCAAAACCACTGCCCAGGACTGAGAGTAACCTTTGGAACAAGCAGCAGACTCACTGTAGAGGGAATAGAAAGCACATGCTCTCAGGTGAACTATAAATACTGGCTCTGCTTTTTAGGTTAAAGGATTTTTTAATTTTTTTTTTTTTTTAGAAAGGCAGAAAAGTTAAATGCGGCTTGTATCAGACAGCAGAGGTCCCTACTTTAGTATCCATCTCCTTTACCACTGTTGCAGCCATTAAATAGAAACATGCACCCCCTAGCAGTTTGGCTGAGAAGGAAGCCCAGAAGTAGTAGTTACAGGTATGTACAATGATCAGCTTAAGTAGAGGTAGGTAGCACTAAAAAATTGAAGTTTACTTTGAGAATGAGCTTACATATAAGAATTTATAGCTGGATTCATAGATACAAGAGGCAGAACAGAAAAATAAGAACCTGCAGCTGAAACCCTGAGTCCCAGGAGGGAATGTGCCCTGCCAGCACCCTCTCCCCCCCCCCCCCCCCGTAGTCCTGAGCCCCCTAAACTTGTCCCCCAAAGATGAAGCTTGCTCTTGTTCCAGATTTGTATACCCAGGGACCATGAGTGTGCCTCTCCAGGAAAATGTTGAAGGAAAAGCAGGCAGGGCTAAGTTTAATTGCATAAAGGAAATTCCTGGGATTAGTAGAACTTTTACCTACTGAATAGCTTTTCTTTTCAATTACAGGGAATATACATGTATCTACCTGCTCAGATAAGGTGTTTGCTAGTGGGATGCTCATTAATCTAATGTATTTGCTTTGGTAGATTTGGCTGATAATTAGTCTTTCCTTCTGTTTCCCTTGGGAGCAAAAGGGTCTTAATGTCTCTGTATTGTTCAGTCATGAATAATCCTTCAGACAGCAGGCTTGCCAGGGAGAATTTACCCATAAGAGGCAATTGCCTTCCTGCCCACAGCCTGGCCCAAGACCTGCCCTGAGCAGTGCTCCTCCAAGCTGAGAGCCAACAGTGCAGCTGGAATGAGCCTGCTCTGCCCAGTTCTAGATGCTCTGCATACAGAGGGCATCCTTCCGTTCAGGGATGCTTGGAAGGGGAGATTTGAGGTTCTGACTTGATGAGTTTACAGCTTCCTCTTGCAAGAACTGCACGTAGAGAGGCTCCGGAAAGCAGTGATTGCTTTCTCAGGGCTCCAAGGGGTGCAGCCATCATAAAATCATAAAGATTGGAAGAGACTTTCAAGATCATCTGGTCCAACCATCCCCCTACCACGAATGTCACCCACTAAACCATGTTCGTAAACACCACATCCAACCTTTCCTCGAACACCCCTAGGGACAGTGATGCCACCATTTCCCTAGGCAACCCGTTCCAATGCCTGACTACTCTTTCTGAGAAGAAATGCCTCATAATTTCCAGCCTAAACCTCCTCTGGCACAACTTGAGGAGGCACAACTCTAGACCTATCACTAGCCATCTGCAAGAAGAGGCTGACCCCCAGCTCCCCACAACTGTGAAATGGTGGAGGAGCTGTGGGATTGGGGCTTTCCTACCATATTTGGGCCTCCATGAAACACAGTTCTCTATTTACAGGTGAGACTGTTCTGCACTTAACTGCAATAAGAGTTGGGCTTTGCTGCACTAGCTCAACACCTTCTTGCCACAGCTGTTGCAAGGCTAGCATGGCAGCATCCCATTCCAGGGATTCCAACCCCCTAAGGCATAGCTGTGCAAATTCGTACAGCTAAGGGTGGTTGCATTGCTTGTGCAAAGATTAACTAAGCTTAAAAGCGGACCTGAGATAGGAATGAGACCCCGTAAAGTTCTGCCAAGCTCTGTTGGGTCTGATTTCCCCAGCTGCAAATGGGGAGCAGGTGGTAGTGGGGTTAAATCTATTAAAGGCTGCAAACAGGTTTCATTTCTGCTCTGGATTAATAGCTAATGCAGGTGTAGAGAGAGCCTGAGGGTGCGACTGGAGTCAGTTTCCCCTTCCTGCATCCCTGGAGGTGCTTGCTTGTACTGTTTTCCTGGTAAGCCTTACAAAGGTTATATTCACTAATTCTTTGTCTGGCAGGCCCCTTCTCACTGAGATGATTGAGCAATTCTCTCCCATAACCCTGAGGCACCAAGCTTTCCATTTCCCAGGACAATCTTTTATTTCCTCTGTTTTCCAAAAGCACTAGGGAGCCCAGCAGTACCTCTGCCTGCTTTTTGCTGCAAAAAGAGAGTGATCAGAGCCACACAGTTTTCTTACATATTTGCTCAAAACTGGCATTCTTGCCTGCATGTTTCTTTCCAGTTTGAGGACTAAGGCTGAGAAAGGCAATTTGAGTACAATTTTAGCTAAATAGTTTTTGTGCCAACCTATGACTTATGTGTGAGATTAATCCTTACCTCTCAAATTTTCTCATGTTAAGGAATAAACGTTCTGCCAGTGTCCAATAAATGATCCCAGAGACAAGCCCTCCACTGGAGGGAGACAGAAATAAAATGCAGCAGCCTGGGGTTTAAGTATCAAACACTTAACTCCTTCAGAGCTGGCCTGCTCAACCGACATCAAAGGCATTCCTTGCTTACACCCAGAGTAACTCGCAACCTCCAAATACCATCTTGCAGACAACACAGGCCTTTTGGCAGGGCAGAGCATCTCGAGAAGTGGAAGTGCTTCAGAGAAGCGTCCCTGTCAGTTGATAAATAAACAAGCTGTCTTTAGCTGATGAGCACCTTCAGCCAGATGCTGAAATCTGGTAAAGCCAGCTCTGAGCTTTCCAGAAAGTCCAGATCCCGTGGGGATATGTCAGTGCACAGATGTGCTTGTTGTAATGCCCGCATTACAACATTACAAGGCTTGCAGAGCAGCTGGGTGCTTCTGCAGGATGCTGTTGTGTGTGTGCTTGCTGTGGCTCAAATTCTTTGTGAAAGGTTGCTCTATATCTGTGCACAGGTGTTGCAGCCCCTGCAGAGCAGTGGGTTAACCCTTTCACAGAATCACAGAATTGTAATGGTACTCACTACTTTTTCGCCTCCATTTTCACTGCTAAGGCTTGCTCTTGAGCCTCACCAGCTCCCTAGGCTCCTAGCAGATCGTGGAGTAAAGAAACAACCACAAAAAGAACTTGTGGGTTACTTAATCAATTTAAAGAAGAGGACAGGACAGGATGTACCTACAGGCCAATTGCTAGCCAAGGGCACAGCGCTGCCCCCTCCTCCCCCAAACCCCTCAGGCGCCCCAGGGCTGCCTCACTCCCCAAAGGAAACACTGTATGAGTAGGCCCCAACCCCAGCCATTTAAATTGCTCTACCAGTCCCTGTTCGGTGTTGTGTGACTGTCACGCAGCTGCTGCTTGGCCTGAGGCGGTGGAGGCATCTGGGGGACAGGAGCTGAGGAGGAAAAAAAGGTGGTGTGAGCCCGAGCCTGGCCCCTCTGCCTCAGTGCTAGGAAGTCCTGAGCCCTCTGTGATTCCCAGCACCGCCAGTCTCCTCGGAGTTTTTGCTACTGTCTTCCATATAACATATTAGGATACATATTTGGACACATATTTGGCAAACCTGTTTTCAATGGTTTGTGGGGACAGGACAAGGGGCAATGGCCACAAAATAGAGCAGAGGAAGTTCTGCACCAACATGCAAAAGAACTTTTTCATGGTGAGTGTGACAGAGCACTGGAACAGGCTGCCCAGGGAGGTTGTGGAGTCTCCTTCTCTGAAGGTATTCAAGGACCGTTTGGATGTCTACCTGTGCAACCTGCTCTAGGGAACCTACTTTGGCAGGGGGGTTGGACCCGATGATCTTTCAAGGTCCCTTCCAACCCCTGCAGTTCTGTGATTCTGTGATTCCCAGATCTTTTTTCTTGCCCTTTTTGAAGACCAGGGTCACATTGGCTATCCTCCAGTCTTCAGGCACCTCTCCCATTCTCCAAGACCTGTCAAAGATGATAGAGAGCAGTTCTGCAATCATCTCTGCAGCTACCTCAGCCCACGTGGATGCATCCCATCAGGGCCCATGGATTTGTGTGCGATGATCCCAAACAGACACTCTGGGACCACCCCGTCCTCAATCAGAGGGGAGCTCTGTATTTCCCAGACTCTATCTCCTCCTTCCAGGGTCCAGGAGTCCCAGGGAGGAGTCTTTGAAGCAAAGACTGAAGCAAAGAAAGCATTCAGTATCTCTGCCTTCTCAGCAACCCCTGTTACCAGGACACCCCCCTCGTTCAGCAGGGGACCCACATTATCCCTAGTCTTCCTTTTACATTTATATACTCAAAAAAACCCACCTTCTTATTATTCTTTATCTCCTTTGCCACCTTGATCTCCAGCTGGGCTTTAGCCTTCCTCATTGCATCACTGCAGGCCCTGACAACACTCCTATACTCCTCCAAAGAGGACAGGCTCTTTTTCCACATTTCATAGACCTTCTTCTTCCTTTTGATCTTGTTGATGAGTTCTTTGCTCATCCACACAGGTCTCCTGCCTCCCTTCCCTGATTTCCTACTTTTAGGGATGCATGGATCCTGAGCTTGGAAGAAATGCAGTTTAAATGTTGCCCAGCTCTCACAAGCACCCTTGCCTTCTAGCAATCTACCCATGAGATACCCCCCAGTAGGTCCTGGAAGAGGTAAAAGATGGCTCTCTGAAAGTCCAGGGTAGCAATCCTACTTTTAGCGTTACTTCTTCCACCAAGTTCCATCTTGAACTCCACCATCTCACGGTCACTGCATCCCAAGCAACCCCAACCATCACATCCCTGAAAAGCCCATCCTTGTTGGTAAGAACAAGGTCCAGAAGCACCCAGTGCCTCGTCGGCTCCTCCACCACTTTCTTTATACAGACACCTGTCTTCTCTGTATTTTAACACATTCTTCATGCAAAACTGGGGAAAAAGAGGATAGCTTTCACCCAATAAACCTCCTAGCTGGAGCCTTGCTTGAAACTGTACCGAGGGCTGAACCAGGGGAGCCAGAAACTTGTTAGCTGTGGCGAAAAACCTGCCCCTGCCCTCTTCCACTGCCAGTGATCCTCAGACTCCAGTGACATTTAGCCCGGCTCCCTTTAAATGCCAGGGCAGGTGTTGCTGCTTGGCAAGGAGGGCAGCAAGCTCTGGATAGGCAGCCTCTGGGGCTACTTCTCTGCTTTTTCCCGAAAAGTGTTCAGGGCTGCAGGGTTTGAAGCGCAACCCCCTGCTGCCCTCCCAGCACTGCCAGAGCACCACGGGTCTGGCTAGTGAATGCTCCTCAGTGTTTCCCTCCTTCCTTGCTGTGTCTTAGGCTCTCTGTAGCATATCTGAGCAATCAGTATGAAGTCTGATCTGTCTTTTCAGACCAGCAATCTCTCTATTTATGTCTGTGCTGATCCCAGTTTCTGGGCTGCAGTCGTTCTCAGACACCTGCTGTTTCTGAAGGGATCTAATGCCAACACCTCCAGGAATCCAGAGGACAACAGACTTAAAGGATTTGAAAAATTGATCTCCACGCAAGCAAGCTCTTGCAGTGATAAGGCATGGCCACACAAATATCCACCTCTGTTCCACACCCAGACCATGAGTGCATTTTGCGTAAGTGCCATTGAGGTCCCACATGTGCCAACCCCTGTGCTCCTACATGATTTCCCATCTCTGGTCTCTCCTAAAGTAGCCACAGGGCTTTGAGAAGGTGGAGTTGGCCCCCTCCCACCAACCGAAACAGCCCTTTGCCTTAAAAATGCATTAAGCATCTCCTGCAAAAGAGAATCTGCCTTCTTCCTACCTGAGCATTTATTATGGTCAACAAACACTCTCTTTAGATTATGCCTTATCCTCAGCTGGATTTTGCCTAGTTCTTCCCTGTCTCTCTTCTTCTTTTGACACAATGCCTTCAGAGCAGGGATGAGGGAGCATCTGCAATTTCTCTACAATACCACTTATTTCTAATGCCTGCTTGTACTTGGTTTGTTTTGTATTGTTTGTTTGTTTGTTTGTTTTTGCTTGTTTTGTGAAAGAGTGGGGAGAGGCATAGGAAGAAGGCACTAAAGTGCCTTCGTCCCTGGCTATTTCAAAGCAATGCTCAGTGAAGGCACTTCCCAGATGCCCGTTACCAAGTCCCTCAGTCTTCCAAACATGAAAAGGAAAGCAGAACCCAGAGGATTTGTGAGGTCACCCAGGCAATCCCCCCCCCCCCCCCACACACACACATACCTCTTTCCCTCCCCACCACCAGCAGCTCTTCCCAAAAACACTTCAGATGTTTGTTCAACATGTTGTTAAAAACCTGCAGTGATGGAGACTCCACTTCTGAGGCAACCTATTGCAGGGTTGCGTTCTCTCTCCATTAGGAAGTTTTTTTTAATGTCTAACCTCAATCTTTCTTCCTATGTTTTAAACCCATTATTTCTCATGTTATCCCCATGGACAAGGAGACCACTTTACTGCCTTTCTCTTTGCAATTCTCTCTCATGTACTTGAAGGATACATTTCTCTTTACAACCTTGCTTGAAAATAGAACATTGCCATTATCTCTAGCAAACAGATGGGAGCAGAGCAACTAAGGCTGGGGTTTCTTGCTTAATTTTTGATGCCTGAAAGTTACAAGTCTAAATTAGTTGTGTGGTGTTCACTGTGGTATTGAGCACAGATTTCTGCAGCTGGCATCCCTCAATCTTGCTTTAGTGCTCTGTGATGTTTTGCTTCCCCATCACAAAATTTTTGTTTCAGGATAAGATGAGGTTAAGGATAAGGATAAGGTGCTGCTCTCCAAAATGTATCTGAATCTCTAATCCCAAAGCACTCATCACCACTTACAAGGGTGGTGAAGGGGCTGTACCGAGGGATGCATGCACAGCAGTGCTGTGACAGTAAGCATCATATGCTGCACAGCATCTGGAAGAGACATCCTTGGGTGAAATATCAATTTTGGATGCTTCTCAGGAAAAAATGTTACTTTCAAGTTTACTTATAATACTGTCTTTCAAGTGCAAAGTGACTGCCTCATTTACCCAGAGCAAACAGCACATATTGGTTGCATCTTCCTTTTAATTTTAGCACTAAGTTTGTGTTATGTTTGAGTTTTGGCAGGGGCATAAAATTGTAACAAGTAGGAGATAAAACTCAATTAGTTTGGAGAAGGGGAGATATATATTTGTTTCCAATTGGGAAAAAAAAAAAGTTTGATTCTAGTACATATTGTAAATTCAAGGTGTTAATTGGAAAAAAATGAGAACACAAATATTTCAGTCTTTAATATTTGTGTTAACCTGGCACTTTGAGAAGAAACAAGCTTCAATTATCTTTTTTTTTTTTTCATTTGAAGTGATATTTCATTTCAAAACTTCCTTCAATTAGACTTTTATTAACAGAAAATCAGTCAAGAAATGCCAGAATTGTATAAGACATACTCAGTTCATTTCTAAACCACATTTTATTATTATTATTACTTTCAATTTATTTATACTTTGGCCAGTTTTTCTCTTCTTCCCACAGAATCATCAGCCTACCAGGCAATAGCTTTTGTGCCCAGCTCATTACAGGTGTGCGCTGGATCCTGTTGCAAAGGGAATTTTAGCCCTTGACAAAGGGGAGCAGGAAAGTACAGGGCTGACATGTTGCCCAAGCTTCCAGAGAACTGCCCTATTTGGGCTGATAAAACCTTACAACTGCCTCTTTCAAAAATCCCAGCGTGTCACCAGTTGCTCTTTCCTGAACCTGAACAAAGTAAAACCAAACCCTAATTAAAACAAACAAACAAACAAACAAACAAACAAATAAATAAGAAGGAAGAGATGCAGAGAGGGGGAGAAAAAGCATCCTTTGAGATGGAATAGTTTGTTTTGACATTCTTTATTTTGAGTAGGGCTTTTCTTTAAAAAAAAAGTATATTTTTTAAAAAAATAGGGAAAGCCCATTTAGCATCAAAGTAAATGAAAATCTCCAAGGTTGTGCTGTACCAGTGGCAAATAGAATATTCCTACTCAAACAAAACTTATTTTCTTTTCTCTTCTCAAGCAACAACTCATTGCAGTTTAGCTCAAAGTCTCAATAAAACAGACAAAAAATAATTGAGCTGGAAAAATCTGAGCCAGCTCTGCTTGTGAACTGGAGGACCCTTGCCAACGAAACTGTGCAGGATGACAGCTCTAGAGTTCAAATACCTCATCCATTTTTCTCTATTGGTGCATGACAATCTCCTCTGAATCCTGGGACCACTACTTTCCACTGTGGGATTTTAATTTGGGTCTGAGAGCAGTGGTGAATCCCTTTCCCAGAACCTTGCCAGGGTTGCCTATCCTGTGTTGTCTCTGGCAAGCTGCCATGGGAAGAGATAGGTGCGCATTTGTTGGCGCCTGCCTCCATCTGCTATCATGACACTCTGCCTCATTCCAAGTCTCCTGACTGTTGTATGCAAAGCTGCATGATGCTTTGTGTACCAAGCAAATCTGGTTTAGCAGGGCAGCTTGCAAACTCAATGGGCTCTTGTTACCCAGCCAACCTGCTGCACTGGGAACATTGCCAATGAAGTGGGATCAAGGTAGCACATTTTGATGACTGAGTGACAGCTCAGCATCCCACCAAGCATAACAATTTGTGGTGTAGACATCTGGCTGTACTGGATGTGAGTACTGAAGAACCAGGACTTGGTAGCAAGAACTTGTGTCTCATTTTGGGTAACTTTCCAGATCCAACATGGCTAACATGGAGTCCATTGCCATGGCAGGACATCTCTTTTAATGTGATTCTATGCAGTTACCAAAATAATTGGGATGTAAAGCAGAGCAGTATCTTTCTTTTCCAGAATAAGGCCCAGAGTGCTTGGATAATATTTTCCTTCCTCTGGGAATGAGAATTGTCTCCAGCACCTTCAAGCAAGCGTAGTACTTGGCCCCTTGCAGAGTTTTACATGGCTGTTTAGATCCATATGAAATAACTCTTGAAGGCAACCAGCCCCTGAGATTTGTGTCTTCTAGGATGGATTGTGATGAGCTTCAGAGCCTGAATCATCTCTTCCAGTACCACACTGACAAGAAGCTGTCCTTGTGTCCTCTGCAACAGAATCCTTCCAGATGATCGTGAAAAGAACCATGTGCCTGATTTCCACAGCTTCTTGAAATTGTACATGGTAGTGACAAATATCCTTATTTTTTTCCCGTCTTAGTATCAAAGATGTGTCCTCTTTCGATTCTGTGTTTGGCAGTTGGAGTAAAGTTCTGGAAGACATATGAAGGCTACACCTCATGTCCAAAAAGGTACCACACTACCTGTTTTCAAGTGTTGCTGCAAATGACAACAGACTGTCAGAAGCAATTCATTGCTCACAAGGAAAAGAGCTCACATGTAGTGAGAAGAAACACAGACATCATCCAGGAGAGTGAAGTCCTCTGTAGTTGTCATCAGTGCTCAATCAAAGCAAGTATCATTTGTAAATCTATAAATATTCTTTGTATTCAACCCATTCTGTACTAAAGTGGGAGAAACTAATTTGACCAATTTTAACACATACCACAGGTATCTGAGCAGAAATGAAAAGCAGATTGCACCCTAACGTCT